ATGCGCCTCTTTTGATCTGTATCCCAGTTTGTGCTGGCCTTCTTAAGGCAAACTTGTTTAACTTATGTTTGTACTCAGATATTATTGCTTCTGCCGACTCGTCTATAATCAAGCTCTTGTATTCTAGCCCTCGAGGCCCCTGACTTGTAATATGATGCTTGTATGACTTATTTTTATTTGTAGAGTTGTGTTGTGATATCTTCCCGTGAGTCCCTGATCTTGATCGTACACGTTTGCGTGTATGATTAGTGTACGGTCAAATCGGGGGCGTCATAGGTCATGAATACACGATGGGTTACTACCTTGCGGATAACATCTATCCTCCACGGGCCATATTTGGTGAAACAATTCCGCGTCGAAAAGATAACGACAGATCTCACTTTGCAACACGTCAAGAGTCGACTAGGAAGGATGTGGAGAGAGCTTTCGGTGTGCTTCAGAAGGGTCTTGCCATCGTTTGTGACCCTGCCGAGTATTGAAACTCCAAGGTTCTATGGTGAATCATGACTTATTGTATCATCCTACATAACGTGATCATTGAAGATGAGAGATGCATGCCTGAGAACTATGGTACATCATCAATGACAATCATGTTGCGTAAGAGCATGATGACATTCCTCAAAGCGCATCCCAGGATCGAGAACCGAGAAGCTCATACCCAGCTCGGAGATGTTCTTGTTGAGCATCAGTAGCATCTATATAGCACTTCATAGATGTGCTTCTATCATGCTATTTACTTTATTTCAACCCTTCGGTGTGTTTGAATTTGAATAATTTGGTTTGTAAACTATGAATTTGTTAATATTTATGAATTGTGTGAACCTTAATTACTATGTTGGGTTTTCATATGTGTGCAAATATATAGTTCAAACGTACTATCTAAACTAGAATTGGAATAATTTGGCAAAAATAAAATTTTACTCCACTAAGTTGTGGGGATCGACTAGAAATGACCAAAATTTAGAGGAGTAAAAGTACTCCTCTAAGTATTCCTCTAAATTTTAGGGGTTGGCTTGAGATGCCCTTAGATCTCCTTCATCTAAAGAAAAAAAAGTTTGGGGTCGTGTGAAGATGTCGGACGATTACAAGTTGATCCAAAAGCCTATTAGCGTGACTAAGATTTATTTACTTTTGAATAATAGTAGGCAGCCCATGAATAGACGATGCCATTGTATTTTTTCCATTTGATCAAATATCGCTGGAAGCTAAAGAGTCAACCTCTTCCCTTCCTCTCCTTCCCCTTTCTTAACCAGGCATACCTCGCACGTCTCTCAATGATGATGCGCCAACACCCTCCACATTGCTGCTCGCCACCCGCTGCATCCACGTCATACAACCGTGATCGCCCTTTGCATCCATGCTACCCTGCAGCCCCCTCCTCATCTACGATGTGTCACCACCACCTCCATCGTCCACCTCCATGGCTTCCTTTTCTCGTACGGTGCTTCAATAACCCACAAATATAATATATCAATTGTATATTTTTATAAGTAAAGTGTCGAACACAATGAGGAGCAAAAGTAATTTGCAAATGTTGTTTGTTGATTGAAAGAATAGGTGCAAGAATTTGAATAACAAAAAAATCAAATATTTGTGTGGTAGCGCTAGTACAACTAGTTTTGAGAACATCAACTATCTTTATGATATTCTTGGATAAATTGTATACTTGTTTTAACATTCATTATATAAACCCTCTTGTTGAGATCATAATCAATTACCAGATGGAGAGATTGAAATACTCGATTTTTTTTAGTGCACAAATCTGATCATAAAGTGACAATTCATCATGTCACAACAAACACACCACATATTACATCGAATTGACCTCGACCATTTGAGAAGGTTCACGGGAACATGATATTGAAGATCAAAAAAGAGAGAGAATCATCTAGGGTCCTAATGGAACTACTCACACATCATCATGGACGCAACAAGGTTGATGAAGAAGCCTCCGGCAATGGATTCCTCCACCGACAGAGCTCCGGAACAGGCCTTAAGATTGGATCTTCGCGAAACAGGAGCTTGCAACAACAATTTTTTTTAAATATGGCAGACGGTTTCGGTATTTATAGGGATTTATTGCGGTGGAATCAACATAAGGCGATGCGGGTGGGCCCAACACGGCCTAGGGGGTGTGTCCTCCCCCCCAGGGCACTGTGGCCCCCTTGCAGATCCTCTCGACCTATTCTGAAGCTTCCGCAGTCCCTTGTTGCCCAAAAAATGTATTTTAATCGGCAAGTGATTTTGACCTCCGTAGATATTGATTTCCTGCGAAACCCAAAACAAGTATAAAACAGGAACTGATACCGCGCATTAAATTAATAGGGTAGTCCAGAAAAATAATATAAATTGCTACAAAAGTGATTATATAATAACATGGAACAATAAAAAAATACATTTGAGATGTATCAGTGATGGTCATCGAGTTTTCGAGTTTGAGAACTACGAGTGCAAGATGAGCATCCAGAGGTTATATGCTTTGAAGCTTACTTCAACATCATGATCATGTGCATGTGAAGATGTGCTTAAGTGCTTACCTCACTGTAAAATGAGGAAGCAATTCAAGAATCTTCACCAAGTGATAGTGGTCAAGTAAAGGTTCCCAAATTGAGGCAAATATTTTTTATATACACGTTTAACATTTTTAAAATACAAGATTAACATTTTATGAAAACTTATATTTTTTATGTCTTCTTTTTTATACACAATGTACAATTTTTATATATCTAATATATTTATCTAATACACATTTAACATTGTGCAAATACAAGATTAAATTTTTTTGAATACACGATCAGCAGTTTTTTTCTATATACACATTTCTATTTTTCATATGCTTGATAATCATTTTTTTAGATACAAGATTAATATTTTTTTAATACATGGCTGACATTTTCTATACATATTTAACATTTTTCAAATGCTTGATCAAAAAAATTTAAATACATGGTCAAAAAAATTCACACACTTTGTATATTTTTTGTATTAATTTTCCTATACATGAAAAATATTTTATCTGTTCTCATTTAAAAAAATTCAAATGCTTATTAACATTTTTTCCAATGTTTTATGTAATATATTTATTTAGAACATTTGGAAGTATAAACTAAACAGAAGTAAAAAAAAAGACAAAGCAAAAAAGGAAAACAATAAACAATAAACGTGAAAAAAAACCCGAGGCTGGGGCCTCCCGCAAGTCTGGGCCAGTCCATGTCGCGCTCGCCTTCAGGCGAGGATTCCCTGCGTCTCGCTGACAAAGAGTAAACACGCGTGTTGGCGACAGGAAACTGAAGAAGAAACAGCACGACGTCGTTTCGTAATAATAACTGGACTCCACGCCTTCACGGCTTTGTGCTATTTGTATTTGGATTTGGACTCAGCTCTGCCCAATAAATAAATAAACTCCAGTCAGACTAAAACTCGAATCAAGTGTCCGAGAGCGCCTGTGTATTGGTGGTCCTAGATAGTAGATGTGATTTCAAATATCCATGGCTGGCACATATTGGCCTTTTCTAGTACCGTACTCTCTCTCGCACACGACGAACAATTGACGTATCGTGCGTCTCTCCTTCGAAACAGAGAACAACCTGATCGACGGATTATGGCCGACGACAAGCAAAACCCGGGGTAAGCTGTCCGCTGAACTTGTGCTGTAAATTTTGAAACTTTTTTTTGAGCATCAGTACAAACACAAGCGCTTATATACACGCGTATACACTCACTCCCCTATGAACACACACACGCATATCCTACCCCTATGAGCACCAGAAATAATGCGAGCACCAGGATTTGAACCCTGATGGGTTGAGAATAATACTGTCCATCTAACTAACTCAACCACAGGTTGATTCGCAGTGTAAATTTTGAACTTGTGCAGTATATTTAGCTCGATTGTTATTGAATATAAAAGTCGCCTTATATAATTAAAAAAAACACGCAAACGGCCGTAACCAACCGCCCACCCCGACCAAATTCCCCTCGAGGGTCGCCAAATTCTCCAAGCAGCCACGACGCGAAGCTGCCGCCGCCGCCGCCGCCTCCGTGACCTGAGCTACCCACGTCCCTCCCGCCACCCCCGGGATTTCCTCCCAATTCCTGCATACCTCCTTCGGCGCCGCCGAGCACCTGTTCCCATCCAATGGGCCGGTCGAGCCGCAACAGCCGTACGAAGAGACGTCCTCAGGATTCTTCATCTCCACCACCGCCGCCACCTCCTCCTCCTCGTCTGGCTCCCTTCCCACCACATTGTTGCGGCCAGGTGTATTCTGGCGCGCCTCGGCCATCTTCACCTATTATTACCATTTTCCTCAACATGGTCGAGATTTAGCTTACTCGAATGACAGTGTGAAAACGTTATTTATCATTGTTCCCGCAATTCTTTCTTCACCTATTTTAGCCCTTAACCTTGTTGGTTCACTTCAGGCATGGTGCTGATAGCAATGATGGACGAGATAGGGGTGAAGGTGCTGTTGATGCTCGTCAACACAGGTAATTCTTTCACCAATATGCTTCCCCTTGCCTTCGATGTTCTAGTTTAGTGTGAGAACTGAGAAGTACTATACGGTCACGTTTGGTTGAAGTCACTCACTTCGAGTTCGCGGAATTCTGAATGTTTCAGTTAGATTGTCTGTATAAGTATAACATGAAATTTGTATGTGGGACTGCTATATATAATGGATGAAGTACTATCAAAGTAGTCTCTCTGTAATCACTTTATATTCTATTTGTTGATAATTCTCTTGTAATTTTTTAATCATTTATAAATAGGGTGCTTATATGATTGATTATTCTCCTAAAATTGTTTGAAACCATCTACAATCTGTTTCAGTTCTAATGATGGTAGTGACAATGATGTGGATATCGGAGATCCTTTTCTTACCAATAGATTTGGAAATTTGACAAGTTGGAGGTTGAGTGATTTGGAGGCAGCAGCAGATAATTATCTTGAAGATGAAGAAAGTGAAACAGAGGTAGAAGAAAAGAAATATTCCAAAAAGGAAATGCTAAAGCGTGACGCGGACCGTAAGAAACAGTACATGGAATATGCTTTACAGAAATATAACAATGATGAGGATCTTGCTGGGGTTTGTGCTCTTTCCTTATAAATTCGTAACTCTTTATTTCGAGCACATTTCCATGTTTTAATCTGAGAAATATTTTCAGGAGATGCGTTTTGTGTTTGATGAAAGTAAAGATGAAGTTTTCATTATTGAAGGAAACATGAACTTCTATGAACACTTCAACTTTACAGCTAAGCAGGCTGGTTCCACTGTTCTATTCTTTGCTGAAGTGATCCCAGACGAAGGAGAACTGTGTGATGTTCTTTGCTGCAAGCCTTTGGATTCTGATGACAATGGTATGCTTTCTTAATTGTACGTGACTACTAGTCATATAGTAGTGCCATATAACGGGTTGCATGAAATGTGCTGCTTTGCATTTACTAATATGTTAGGAACTGTTATTTGATGAACTGCTTTGCCTCTAGTTTGCATAGTCAATCTATTTATATGTACTTGCCGTGCTTGGATTGGATTTATTAATCTTGGATATATAAAGCCATACAAAGTGACTCCTCAAGTAGTAGTATTACTGTAATTCGATTAATACGAATAGCTGAGCAAGTTTTTGTGTGTAAATTTACTACTGTTGTCTGATATTTTGTCATGTGGGGATCAACATACAGCAGGTGTGGCGTAGATGGTTAGGTCTCCTAGATCTGCCACCTTACCAGTTGTTGTTTTCATATCTAGTCAGGATATGTGTCTGATTGGTACTCTACTTGATTTGTTCTTAGGCAAGAGCCTTACATAACATTGAATCCCTGTGCGTGTCAAAAAAATAGATACAGTTTTATTTGTATTCGAGTAGAGTCTTGCCTTAAGCCACCCTTCACATAAGGAGTCAATCACCATGTTTTGAATCTGTTATCTTCGGTTCTGTTTGCCGGTGATGACACTTCCGCTAGCGTCTAGTCGGTCCTCAAGCTCCTACTGGTGTGGGATAGGCTCTCAAATGAAGGAGCCATAACACCATGGTATTGGAGAGCATTATGTCTTGGCTTTGTGTTACAATGATCCGTGGACGTCGCATGGAGCTCTGGCAGAAGTAACAGTAGGGTACCGCCCCTCAGCATCAACAGTAGGTGCAGGAGCGCATCGGCTATTCGGTCACCTGGATGGCACACTTCGGAGTCCATTGCCAAATGTTCCAGGTCACCGTGCACCGGGCTTGAATAAGGCTATTCCCCTGAATCCAGTTGACCTTTGCACTGTTCCAACATCTCGAGGCAAAAGGGCATTCAAAATACAAATGGTCACGTGTCTCAAGTATCCCGGAGCTGCAAAGAACACGATTAGAATTGGAGTCTAGGTGCCAATATGCCCTCTGATGATTATAAATATCTGGTGTGCAATCTGTCCATAATCAAAGCCAGGCAAAAACCTTATGCTTGGGCAAGCACTTGCTCTTCCAAATCTTGGGGAAAATGGGGTCTGCTTGGAGACCATCAAACAGAAATTTATAGAAGTTAGCTGCAGGACTTAGCAAAACTAACCCTGAGTCCTGTAGCCTTAGCGAAATCATCCAAAGTATTCATGAGAATATGCATCCGACCAGATGAACCATTCATGATAACCAAGGTATCGTCTGCATATTGAACTATAGGAAAATCATGGCCGGGGATGTCAAGAGGAGCAGAGAGACGGCCCCTCCTAAAATGATCATTTATCATAGATTATTTTCTTTATTCGTTGGAAGCATGTATTTCGTTTTCCAGTTTCCTTTACCAGCTGGTGAAACGAGCTAAATCAGGATTCCAGTTCTAGTTAACATTCTGGTAATAGTGGAGAACACAGAGTTATATCCTGTTATTCTTGTTAACATTCTGGTAATACCATGAATGAATACCATGCATATGTGCGTTTTCTCTTACTTTTAGGAAATACTAATAATATGCATTGGGAAGTCTAGGATTTTACAATTCGAAAACCTAAGCATCCAGCATACATTATATGAAAGTGCTATGTATTTAGCGAGATAAGCAAGAGCAATCAATCTATTTTCTCTGGCTATCCTCATTTCAACTCGCTGCCCAATTGTGTAGTCATGCCATCTACTCCCTCCGTTCCATATTACTCGTTGATGATTTAGTAAAAAGTTGTACTAGATCAGCGACGAGTAATATGGAACGGAGGGAGTATCTTCACACGGCAGTTATGATGTTGTAGATCAAAGTTTTGTAGCTTATTACCAAGTCATAAACTTAACATATTATTATGATTTATATGCTTCAAATCATTCTCTCTTTTTTCATGATATTGAAAAATGAAGTCAATATTTTTGTTTTCGAAGGACATTGCTTTGGTTGTAAGAATCAAGGTTCCGTGGACTTGAGGCATCCAGCTGGCGAAAGTTTGTATGTTGGAGGTCATGTGGATTGCGAGTTCCCATTTATGTGGGATAGTATCAGTGAGGTACTTGTAAATCAAGTGACATCTCTTTTTTTTCCTGCTGTTTTCTTGCTACAGTTTTTCTACATACTCCATATATTGTGTTGTACATGTAGGACATTTATAATACATATATGCATTTGATTGTATTTCACGTTTTCAGGATGACTCTGATTGAGAGGGAAGATGTCCTAGATGGCCATAAAGAATGTCTGATGGGGGCGTTGGTCTTCTTCTGTTATTCTCCAAATTTTAACGTCTATGTGGTGCCACTTTTGTTTGGAATTGGAGGGCGTGTATAAATACGTTACACTAGCTATAATTACTTCGGAATTCATAAGGCACGAACATTCTCTCATCTGCCTTGCAGCGTGACTGGGCTGCACAGTGATCTGTGTGAGCGGGTTGTGATCGCGCAGCGGCGGTGATTGGGACGTGACGGGTTAATAATGTGTCATGCATTGACTGGGTGGCGCTAAGCTCCTGTCAAGCACACCAATTTCCTAATTACTTTTGGTATTCATACGTTGCTTGTGTATAATAAATGGTGTTACTTCATGCCCGCAATGACATAATCATCGGTATGTACAACTTTGACGAAGCATATGCTGCTATGCAACCATTCATGGATCCTCTACCCCGCAAAAAAAAAACCATTCATGGATCATCGTTACTCTTGTCTTGCGGAAATATTCCAAAGAAAGTGACGTTTTTAGACATGTCTTGTGTCAAAATTTGGGACCATTAACCCGAAATATTATTTTAAATGTTTGCACTTGAGATTTATATAAATCATATGCATGGATTCGTCTTGAGAAGTATTTCGGGAATATTGTTATGTTATGTTCTGGGCAGAGAGATGAAAAAAAATGAGAGAGGTAGGAGACGACCGCCCTCAAGAGATAAGGCAGGGGAACGAGTGGCTCCGAAGGAAGCGGTGCGTGGTCCGCACCAAAACACGTGGCGTCTAGGCGACGTTCCAGAAATCATCCGGGTGATTTCAAACGTTTTTCAAATAAATTTTCAGGTGACTGAAAAATGGCAGAAGCAATATTTTGTAGTCTATTTAGGTATGTGACGTAGAAATCATATTTAGACAACTGATCTCCGCAACAAAATCCACAAGTTTTACAAGTAGTGTTTTGCAATGAAATCCATCCCAGACCAGCTTGATCAGGAGCTACAGGTTAGAAGAGCAAAGGAGTTTTTTCTCTCTAGAAGGGCTTGGAGGGGAGGTTGTGGTTGGCGAGGAAGTGCTTGAAGAGCTCCAGCGCCTGCTCGGGCCGCGAGGTTGGCACCATGTGCCCGGCGCCTCTCACCGTGACAAATGTCAGGCCATCATACACCACACTCCATCCACCAACCTGCAAACAACAAACGCATCAGAACAAGAACGTCACACGATGTAACGTGTGAGATAGTGCCATAAGATCTGATAAGATTACTAAGCAACCAATTGGAAGCTACTGGTCGATGGGATTGTTCTGCTATTCACTCATCCAATTAACTAATACTCCGTCCGTTTATAAATATAAAATGTTTTGGACAATTCAATATGAACTACACACAGGCTGAAATAAGTGAATAAATACACTATTATGTGTCTATATACATTCAATTCAGAAGAAAAAATGTTAGAAGAACTTGTATTTGTGATGGAGGGGTACCTGCTTGTGAGTGAACCATGGCGACCAGTCCTCCTTGATGGGCAGGCCGAGCTTCTTCAGCGTGTACCTCGTCGACGTCGTAGGGATCCTCCCATCCGTGTCGCCGCTGAAAATCCATATGCGAAGCCCTTCCTCCGCGAGCTTCTTGACGATGGGGACGACCGTCATGTCGGAATCCTTCCACACATCGTTGATGGTATTGCTGAAAAGAAACACCACACAAACAAAACAATATATATTCAGCTATGAAAAGAAACATAATTCTGAGCCCAGCAAGCAAACTCAGCTAGGCGAACTCACCGGCAAAGAACGTAGGGGTACGGCAGTCCCGTGGTGTTGGCATGCAGAGCCCTCTGCACGTCCTCACGGTTCAGATACTCGGTGGCGTACGTCTGCGTGCATGGATCGAAGCCCATTGGCATCTTGAGCAGATCAAACTGTTCATTTTTGTGCATGAAAGAAGAATCAATTACACTGCTCGATCAGAACTCACACGCACACATGCAGACCGAGGGGGAAAATAAGTGGCTGAAACTTTTGAAGCTGAAGCCAAGGAGGATGCTTTGCTTACACGGCCGTTGGTCTGCCCGATGTTCGCCGAGGACGACGCGTTCAAAGCCGGGTACCCGAGGTCGCAGTAGGGGGTGTAGAGGCTGTAGACGTCTATGAGTTTGTAGAGAAGAAAGAATTCGCTCAGTGCCGCGTCGCACTCCGGAGACAGGATCTCCATGCTGAAGTCGCACGACTTGAGGAAGGCGCTGTAGAGCGTGTCAGAGATGATGGCGTGGTGCCACGCCGAGTCCACGATCCCCTGCAAGTCCGTGTCCCCGTCCATGTACGCGTTCCCGATCTGTACTCCATTTTGTTTAGTTAGTTACTGCTAACATTCAAGCAATCGCAGGATGGTGAAATGGGTAGCTTATTATAGCTGCATGTATGTACCAGGATGCCTTTGAAGTTTATGTAGTTTTCTTTGGAGGCCTTCTTGTTCTCCTCCACGATGACATTCGCTAACTGCGGAACGTAATGTCCTAGCGATCCAGTGGCAAGAGAATTAGAATGAGCAAAAGTCAGATCATGAGCACAGTACAATCTAGTAGTTCTACTAGTAGTATCTAGCCAGCTATGAATGGGCTGGCAGACCTGCATAGCTCTCTCCAGCTATGTAGAACTCTTTCATTTTCTGCTGGGGGAACCTCTGAAACCACCTGACGAGGAAAGCATATGAACCGTGTGCTGCAAAGGACGAATGAAATGTCATGTTATCTTGGGAAGAAATCCCTTCATTGTTAGGATAGAAGAGGAAAGACATATCTGTCTTGCATACCTGTGGAATTGTCTCCCGGTGGATCTATTTCGAAGGACGTGTTCGTGTACGAAAATCCAACACCCGCTGGAGAGTCCAGGAACAGCAGGTTGGCAGCTGAAAGTTCACCCGACAGTAAGCTATGCATGCTTCCATTGCTATGAAAATTGTTTGTAAGTCTAGTGTGTTAGTCTTGGTTGGCACTTGCCTTGGTTCCAGGCATACGGATTGAGCTCAAGCTCAGGCACATCTTTCTTCACAAGAAATGTCCCGAGCTCCTGCGCCTGACCAAACCCGACGGAAGAACACCCAGGTCCTGCAAATTTTGCAAAACCACACGATGTATAGCTAAATTACACACATCTATCTCCCATGAAGTTTTCTGAAGTTTCAAGGTAAAAACAGTTAGTTAGTTGGTTAGTTAGCAACCTCCATTTAACCATAGGACCAGTGGCTTCTCGTCAGGCTTCTCCATAGCCTCGAAGAACCAATAGAACAGTGCCTTGCCGAGGCGCTCATCGGTGGTGACGTACCCGGAGTAGTGCTTGAACGCATATGAGTAGCTCGGCGCCCCCGGCAGTGATGCGACGCGGTCAAGCTCTTGCGCGGCCATTGTGGCTGCGTCAAGGCTTGCTGTTGCACTGTCAGGCCGTGCTCAACAGTGCAACAGAGTGCCAGTGCAACAGACACAAGTAGCAACCAGGGTAAGGTGGAAACCTCCATGGTTTAAGGTTTCTTAGCTCCTTTTGCTCGGTGTTGTGGGGAAGTTAGGCATTGGAATGAAGTATTTATAGTACGTACAGAGATAGTGTGTGGAGTCCAGAGACAGCTGACAAGTAGATCGAGTCCTTGGCCGGCATCAACCTTTTCTCGTTGGCCTGATTCTCCCTCTTGCTCAGAATTACATCATTACTCTTTAAGAATATGATTTAGCAATGTTGTTATTCATGAAAGACCAGCAGTAAGAAATATTAGCCATATATACTTACTTTTAGTGATAATTTCAGTTTGGAAAGCAGCGAAGGCAACCCCACAACACAGCTTCGGTCCTTGCCTATACTTTTTGGAAAAATACAAAACATTGTGGGTAAGTGTCGCTTCTCGTCCGTTAGTCATGCATCGACGAATGTTTTTGGCTCCACGAACGGCTCTTAGTGCTTGTGTATTGTGCACACGGTTTCCAGTTTGCGTGGTTGTGTCCATGCCAACGGCTCTTACCATCTGGAGTGCTTGTGTATTGTGCACACGGTTTCTAGTTTGCGTGGTTATGTCCATGCCAACGGCTCTTACCGTCTGGAGTGCTTGTGTATTGTGCACAAGGTTTCCAATTTGCATGGTTATGTCTATGCCGGAATCGCGTGTGCTTACGTCATCTTTGTTGGCTCATCAAGTGTTTGGTGTGGATTATCGTTGCTATTTTCTCTTTTTTTAATTGTTTTTTCATCCGTCTAGGCATCGTTTCGATCTTATACGACTTGATCCTCTGTGTGTGTTAGTGTTGGCTTTGTACATCCTAATTCGGAAGAAGCCAAGTCCATGAGCTCATTATTTTGAATTGCCTTAATGCTACATTATAAAAGAATAAAAAAGGCACTCTTATAAAAATACATGGTTTGAATTGCTGTGCCGGCTATTGGTACGCAGACAAACAAGTATCAGTTTTATCACCATAAGCATCAAAGGGAGCATTGTCCTTTGTCCCAAAGTATCATTCACAAGAAAAGGCTTTTCAGTCCACATTGAAAATGACACTATATAATACTGTACAACTGTAATACACAAAAAGGAACATAATACACCATCCTTCCAGAAAAGCAAGGCGCACTTGACTTTTTTTTAGTGTTTTTTGCTACAGAGTGCAAACGAAGTACATACACAAATACACGAGACACCCAATTTTAACTATGATTTTCACTAATAATATGTTTATCTCATTAATATGAAGACATACAAAATCAAATTATTTTACAAGATAAATATGGCAATACAAACTGTACTCTGTACATGCCTAATTTATAATATATTAATGATCAAAGTCATTCATTAAAGACCACACAAAGTCAAAGACGTGCCTTACATTTTTAGAAAGGAGCAGGTGACATGATCATGTATATAACTGATATGATATCATTGAGATGGCACAATGGAATCATTCAACAGACCAGAAATGCTGATCTCAAAGTGACAAAGACATAATTATGCTAA